GAAAGCCCATGGAAACAGCCCAGAGGAGGACTGGCCCAAGCCCATTCACAGCAAAACTCAAAAAATTGGGCGGGCTGTGATGGCCACAGCAGCTGGAAGGCACAAAGGCTAGGGCTACTACATGCCGAAATGCTCAGAGGGGAAGAGAAAGCAGAAGCAGAAGAACCAGGGCCGTTGAGCAGACAGCCCACTGTGCCCAAGAATTGAGATTCCTAAAGCTGGCCTTGAGTCATTGGGGAGAACTGTGAAGTTATGGGCAGCATACTTTGCTTATGAAGGCAGGGAAGCATGCAAGTTAGTGCTTTAAGGATCAGATTTCATTTTATCTGGAAAATTCAGTTACATAGTTCCTCCTTGTTAAATTATCTTGCCTAAATGACATGTTTCTTCAGTTACAGATTGTTTCCTTCTTTCATCGTTAGTTTCTTAGTTCAAAGAATTCTTGTCAGAGAAATACATGAAAGAATAAAAAGCATTTATTAAGCTCTTATTAGGTGCTGAGCTCTGTGCCACACATTGGCAATACAGAGAAAAGCAAGATACTGCACTTTTTTAGGAGGTTATGCCACAGGAACATTCGGCTGCAGGGCCGATGGAAAGGCCCAGTGATCCTTAGAGACTTAGGTTCTTTCCAGTGATTAGGTTAGAGACCTGGGAATGAATCTTCTTGAAGGTCATTTTCATTGATAAACCAGATCCATTTCTGCTGCTGAGCCTTTTGCCTGACATTCAAGGCCCTTTATAGCCTGGCCTTTTCCGACCTTTCTAGACTTACCTCGTATCACTGTCCTTTAAGCAGGCTGTGCTATAGACCAACTGTACAGCTCTGTCTCTTGCCAGACCCTCTGTGCTTTCCTGCCTCTTTGCTCTGTCCTCATCTGTCTGAGCTCTCCCCTTTCTCCTCTTTGGCCATTGAATTCATAGTTGCCTCCTTCTACTCTTCACCCTCCTCAGCAATGGCCTACCTGCCCCTGGACCTCTTTGGGCACTTGCTTTACTGATCTCTCAGGCATAGCCGGCTTGCCATTCTGTGCATTGCACTCATCTGCATTTGTGCCTTATCTTTCCACCAGACAGTAATCTCCATGAGGCAGCGTGTCACCTTTTCCAAAAATGTGGTATTCTCTCTTTTAGTCCAGGGCTTTCGTACCCTGTTGATGATGCACTGATGCTTGCTGACTTAGAATGAATGACTCAGAAGCAGAGAAGTAGCTTCTTTTTTCATGAGTGGGAGTTGGGGATGGACAGAAGTCATAGAGACACACATTGGAGCTTGAGGAGGGCTCCCTGGGTTCACCGTAGAAAGAGACTGGCGCCAGAGGGAAAAGACAAGCCAAGTGGCCGGGAGCCAAAGGGCCCAGAACTGAAGTGAAGAGAAGAAAACAGAAGTATGGGAGTGCCGAGTGAAGGCCCCATCCTAGGCCAGCTCCTAAGCGTGCTTCTCCATTGGGCATTGTTCTTCCCTTCTTCATTACAAGTGTCCAATCACCAAGTCCTCTCATGATCACCCAACACACGTCTCATTTCCACTGCTGCTGCTACCACTTCCTTGATTTAGGCCTTTACTGACCTTGGGCCTGGGTGATTGTAAGAGACTTCTAACCAACTAACCTCTGGGCCTCCTGTTTCTTCCCATTCTGCCCCCTGCCAGGCATCATTGCCAGGTTAACCATCCCAATGCACAGGCAGCTGTGGTTAGAGCACTGAGCCTGGAGTCAGGAAGATCTGAATTCAAATATGGCCTCAGACATTTCTTAGCTGTGTGACCCTGGACAAGTCACTTAACCTGTTTGCCACAGGTTCCTCATCTAAAATGGGGATAATAATAATAATAATAGCATCTGCCTCCCAGGGTTGTTGGGAGGATAAAATGAGATAATAATTGTCAAGTACTTAGTACAATGCCTGGCACATAGTAGGTGCTATAGAAATGTTAGCTATTATTATGACAGTCTGCTGCTGGAACTCCCCCCACTCAATGAAATTCAAACCCTTCAGTCTGACATTAAACACCCTTCCAGAAGAGTCTGTGTGCAGAGTTCTCTCTCATTTGTCTCCCACAAGTATTTTATGCTTTAGCCAAACTGGATTATGTAGTGTTATAAAAACACCTCCTGTGTTTTCCCACCTCTGTGCCTTTGTCCATGCTGTCTCTTCCACCTGGAATACCTTTTCCTTTGCATCTTGACTTGTAGAAATCCTACCCATACTTGAATTCCACTAGCTCAAATCTTGTTCCCTCCCCAAACTACCTGTGATCTGAGGCACGTCCATGTACCCTGGGAGCAATTGCCAATGTTGGGGAGCAGTGTGAACTTTGGAAAAATAGAATCATTGTATATCATTTCTGCCACAAATAATCATAAAATACTGATGAAACTGGCCTCTGGGCAGCAGGGGCAACTTTTATCATAGTAGATGCAAATCTAGTGCTCTGGTTTGCAGGAGGCTAAAAAACAGCTATGTGTCCTTACATGAGCCTCAGCCGTCACCTCATCCTGCCGAGTGCTAAGACCTGGCACCCCCGGCTATCCACTGCTTTCCAGAAAGTCAGAGAGACACAGAATGGCTTTCAGGATTTGCTTCCTTACACTTAGAGGTACAGGTTTCCCTGAAGAGAACAAAGCCATTCTTTGGGTGGACAGAGCAGGTAGAGTGTGGGTTTACGATGGTGAGTTAGCGCCTCATCATGACCATGGTAACCCTCTTGAGCCCCTGCTACCCTCTGCTAGGCCCTGCCTTCTGCTGGGGAGAAGCAACATTTTCAGGGAATGCAAACATAGGGTGATGGCAGTAGGGGCTAAGACCTGGAGAGGCCTCAGGGAGGAAGGGACCCTGGCAGATGTGAGGAGGGAATACACTTCAGGCCTAGTGCAAAGGGACGGAGATTGGAGCAGAAAAGACCGTGTATGCTTATTATCTCGACTTCTCTCACTTCCCCCTCTCTTGCATTCTGGCTTCTGAACTCATCACTCAGCAGGAAGTGCTCTCTGCACTAAATCTGATGGTCTGTTCTCAGTCGTGGGCTGTCTACCCTCTCTGTGACACGGCCCCCTCCTGACATTCCCCTCCTCCTCCTAGATGACCCTCTTTCTTCTTCCCTGGGTTTTTCTGACACTGCTCTTTGCTGGGTGCTGGGCCTTCCTCCTCAGTGTCCTGAGGCAGCATCATCCCGGTCCTTACCTCCTTAACCAAGGCTGGATCTCACAGCTCAGTCCCAGCCCTCGTCTTTCTTTGTCTGGCAGTTTGCTGTTAAATCAGGCCTCTTGGTAAGCCAGGGTTCCTTCTCCTTTTGTGAGTCTTGGGCCCCTATAGCAGGCGGGTAGGCAGTCAGCCTGCCTGGTTCGTGAAGAAGCCTATAGACCTCTGCTCACATCAAAAGAAATGCCTGCTGTTGGTGAGAGGTTAGTGCAAACAAAACTGTCTGTTCTTTTCCCTCGGCCCAGGTCATGACCCCTGCAGCCTCTCCTTGGAGGAGTCTCTAGGCCTCAGGTCTAGACCTGAGCCCCATAGGGTCCACCTGCCTGTGGCCTTGGGCAGATTCTCCGAGCCAGCAAGTGCCTGACACACGGCAGAGCACTGAATCGACAGGCACGAATGGTGTTATTATTCTTGTTGGTAATAATAATTGATAGTGGGCTCTTGAATGTTTGTAAAGAGCCTCATTAAACATCAGCCTTTGTCGTTATGGCGTTTGCCAGTTTTGCTGGATATTTGTTATGTGACCGTTTTGGGCAGAGCATCGTTTGAGGGGCTCCTTTCCTGTCTTCCCCTCCCCCAACACAAACCATAATCCCTCTATGACTTGGGTCATTTGAGAGAGTTTCTGTGGCTGAACAATTTGCTCCTCTGAGGCCATTGTGCTATTCAGTCTCCCCAAATGTAGCCAGGCTGGCTCTTCCTCCACAGATGTGCGGCTCCTCCTTATGTCTGTAGTCGAGGCCTTTCCAGCTTGGTGCTCAGCTGGCAGAGCTTGTGAGAATCCTCACCAGCATGAGGAGGACTTTAGTGGAGGGGCAGAGAGAGAGAGAGAGACAGAGACAGAGAGACAGAGCGAGAGCCGTGATCCCATGCAATAATTAGTGAACATGGCAAGTGTCCTCACAAGGTCTGGAGTGCTGTGTAAGGCCCCCAGGGGGTAAGTAACTGGCTAGGGGGATCAAGGAAGGCTATGTGGAAGAGGTGGCTTTTAAACATTGGGCAAGGCTTGGGATATGAGTGAGAGTAGTCCAGGCATGGGGAATTGTGTGACAAAGAAACAAAGTTGGGAAACTGAGGGAAGGTGACTACTCCAGTTTTCCTACAATGTCAAATATGTGGAGGCGCTAGTAGAAGATGAGACCAAAAGCTTGTAAAATAACATTCTGGAACTACTGAATGGTGGTGCTTTTCCTCTTGAGAACCACTTAATTTGGTATGTGAACAGACACACACACACTCTTAGTACTGCATGTGATAATAATACCTTATGCTGATTGCTATTCTGTTGAGAAACCCACACTTGGGATAAGTGAAAGATAATGCCCAGCAGGGAGGGAGCATTCACTTTGCAGAGGACTCATTAGAATGACTGTATATTAGAAATCAGTGTTCGTGAAAGATTTGGCAGATACACTGCCTGTCACCTTTGAATTTTCTCCCACTTCAGGGGTTTGCCAGGTCAGCCCCATGTGGCATGCCAAAGCCTCTGCCAGCCTGGCTGAGGTGCCAACGGGCCACCAAAGTCCCCCAGAAACAGCCAGCCAACACAGTGTTAAGGCAGGAGGCTGCGGTAGCACTTTGGGACAAGCTTATGTATGCATCTGTCTTGGAGTTCCTCTTTTGACCTCTCTGACCGTGAGGGCAAGTGTTGGAGGAAGCCATGAATTTCTCTAATTTCCTCCTGGACTCCTAACATGAAAAGACAGTAGTGTCTGTCATGATTTTCTTTGAGGTATTATCCATTGTTGTGAATGAAAGAGCTGACTTAAAGTTGTGGGTTTTTCCCCCCATTCTTTTAGATCTCTGGTGGAAGAGGAGGACCCTCACATGAAAGTATCTCTTGTTAACAGCGACATGGGCATGTCTGCCCACCTGCAGTCATCCAAGGCAGGAACTACACGGTTTTTCACGAGCAATACCCATAGTTCTGTGGTGTTACAGGTAATACAAACTCTCCTTTTGCTATGTTTCTGTCACTTCTGAAATGCCAAGCTTGAGACATATTTGGAATGGGCCACTATATGTATCTTTAGCAATGCCTCCAAATCCAAGCTGGGAAAAGACACATTACACAGCAGCTTGGGATTGTGGGAGCAACTTTGGCCTATGCCAGGGGTGGGGAGCCTGCGGCCTTGAGGCCACATGTGGCCTTCTAGGTCCTTGGGTGTGGCCTTTTGACTGAGTCTAAGTTGTACAGAACAAATCCTTTTATGAAGGGGCCACACATGGCCTCGAGGCTGCAGGTTCCACACCCCTGGCCTGTGCAGTTACTTATAGAGTCTGGGCCCTAGATGTGGGGGCCCCAGGCCATTTCTTTAGGGCCTCAACCTGGGAAGTCCGTTCTTTGTGGGATGCATATAGAGGTAGAGAGTACATAATGCATTTTGAAAAGGTTTCCATTGAAATTAGCTCAACAAAAATTTTGTTCCTCACCGGTATCTGACTTTAGTCATCTGAAAAATGATTGTGGTACAGCACCTGTTTCCTTCAAGTACCCAACCAATGAGCTATTCCTCCTTTATTCAGAGTAGCTAATTGAAATCTCCCATACTGTGTTTATGTGAAAGTCTATTTCAACCCATTTTGTTTTCCAGTTAAATCAAGTCCTGTAACAGTATGAGAGATCTGACCTTTCCCTTACAATCAAATACTTCTTTGCTCAATATTTCATAACTGTAGCAAGAAGTAGTGGTAGGCAACAAGGAAGCACACTCTGTAAGTTGGAATTGGGGCTAGGGGTAGTGAGGAGGGCTATGCACACACACTAGATTTCCCTGGTCAGATCTCTTTGGATAAGTGGAGCCAAAATATCCTCCTGGAGCCCTCACCTTGTCCTGAAAGGGTAAAACAAGCTCCTAAATCCAAAAGTGATGAATGAATGGCTTGGGCTTGGCATGAGGGCATAGGGCCTGGAAGCCACCATTGGATTAAGGAGGAAGAATCGATAACAATTAAGGTAATTGTACTCTGCTAATTAATATTTCTTTAAATCTTGTTTTAAGTTGTATGTTCTGTTTAAATCTGTTTATAGTAGCACTGCCTAACATTTATATTTAGCTATTTTCATAAAATCTACTTTTAAAGAGAAGGCATCACTGAGTGGCATGGCTCACTGTTCTTACTCTGTGATGCTCTTAGGAAGTCTTATCTCTTTGGCCCCCAGGTCACCCCCAGGGTCTGTTTCTTCACCTGATGGCATAGTGTCCTGATTGTTGGCACGTGACCTAGGAAGAAATCACTGCCATTGCAAACCCACATTCATGATCTACTGACTGCAAATCCAGTCTGATCCAGTTGAATTTTAATTTCCCCTTAAATGATGCTACCAGGGCCATTGTCCCCATCCTCAGGTTGGCCACCTTACTCTCTCCTTACTTACTTTGGGGATGAACTCCCTGCTGACCCTTTTTATTCTGTTACTTCCAGGGCAAAGACAAGGAAAAGGGCATTCTCACTGCATCCGCTACAGGCAGTGGTCCTTTCCATTCTGCCATCCTCCTATTGCCCCCACAGAGTCCCCTTTTGGTGGTCTGTGGTTACCCTCAGCAGTGTCTTGCATTCCCGATACTGTTTTTACAGGACCCTGCTCTGCTCTTCTTTTCACCCTATTACCTGTCCTTGCTGCCATCTTCCACACTTAGCCTTGTACAAATCTCAGTCAGCTAGTGAGTTCCCTGTATATCAGTCTACTTGAGTGTTTTCACACAACTACCATTTTTCCTCCTCACTAGAATAGTTTCTCTGTGCATCTTGAGAATTGCATTCTTGAGTTTCCTAGCTCTCCTGGGCTGACTTCCTCTACCACTCATTTCCTGTTGTCTGACAATGATCAGCCCTTTGCCAGGCTCAATAAACACTATTTTGATGTGCTGATGGCCCCCAATGAGAACAGGAGCTATCAGTTAAAGCATTTGCTTGGGAACAGAACAGTCAATCAGGCACAATCTTCTAAATTACTGATCGCTGTTACGTGCTGGATGGTTGCCAGAGGGCTTTACAAGTTTAGATGACATTGTATTTTCAGCTTATATGGTCTCCCTCAGGATAATGGGTTCCATATGTTTACTATTCTGTGGGCAAAGAAATACTTTCCATTTATTTGTCCCCAGACTAGCCATTGTTTTTGGGTCCACTTTTGGTCTATGTCATCAGAGCTGTCTGTCAAGAAATGTTAACTGTGTTGAGAAATGTTAACATCTAAAGGAAAGCATCAAAAACTTTTAAATGGCTAGAAAACTGGCCTAATGAAGAAAAGTTATAGAAATGAAATTAACTTAAGCTGGAGAAAGGAAGGCTGAGGAGGGGCTTAAATGAGTATTGTAGAGGGGGGGCCTGTGACTATACCTTCCCATAGAGTCCAGAACAGGGGGAAATGGGCCCAGATGGCCAGCCCAATGGGGCCGAATTAGACAGAAGAGGAATTTTTCAATTATTCACATGATTTAAAAACTAGAACAGGATATAAAGTGAGAGTTTATTACTCTCCTCCATGTGTGGAGCTAGGACCTGTAGAGGAAACAGCAAAGAGGGCAGGGGGTAGAGGGTACCAGGAGCCCCTATAGCAGCTCCAGAAGTTGCCAGAGTTGGTGCAGGACCAGTAGGGTGCTGTCACATGGTTGTAGGTGTTAGAGAGCTTGGTAGACTTGGAAGATGTTGGGGAGAGCCTGACTTGGTAGGAACAGGGCCCTGACCAAGGGTCAGCTGAGTAGCAGGGATCACTAAGAAGTAAGGAGCCTGGGAGTTGCGGAGCTGGAGCAGGTCAGTAAAAGAGGCCAGGGAGTGAAGGCCAAGAGAAAGGGAGTAAGTGGAATGTGGTGGATGCTGCTGGGCTTTCAGTTGTATGATCTGTAAATAACAGATGAAAATATGGTAGGGCCCAAGTAAGGCGAAGAGAGAACTGAGAACCCTTGAATGGAGATGAGCAGCTTGTACACAAAGGACAAGGATACGCAGTGGGAGAAAATGAAGTAACTAAGGTCCCAGGGAGCAAAGAATTCAATTCTACTTCAGATCCCTGACAAACCAAAAATAAGGGAAGGCAAAATCGTACTGGCCTTGGAGAAGAGTTGTGTTGATGGGTCTCTAAGCAGCCCAACACTGATTGTTAGTCCACTAGTCAGGAGTCACAGAGCCCCTCCTTTCTCCATCCTGGGGCCTAGCTGCAGACGGGAGAGGAGACCAGGGAGTGGGCCAGGCCTGAAGCGCCTTACAGTCCAAGAGCCTTACTCCTCCTTTGAGAAATGGTAGATTTAGCCACAGGAAGTGGTTAAGAGGAGGATGGTGAATGTGCCAAACTGATGTGGTGAAGGAACTGGGGGTCCTATAGAAAAGGAAACCAGGGTTCTAGGCCCTGTTCTGTCACTATCTAGCTATGTGATCTTGGCAAGTCACTGAACATATCTGGACCTCGGTTGGATGAGTTCTAAGATTGCATGGTGAAGTGGAAGGAGTAGTGGATTTGGAGACAGGAGAAATTTGCCTTCAGATTTCACCTCTGTGGCTCTGGCCAAAATCCATTTACCTTCTGGAGCCTAACTTTGTTCATCTGTAAAATGGAAATAACAATACCTGTAATATTTTCCTCACAGGGTTTTGTGAGACTCCATTGGGTTAATGCACATAAAGAACTTGGCGAACCATGCTCCTTTAATGAGGAGGCCAACTGAGGGTTCCATTTGGTGCAGGGATAGGCCAAGAGCCCAGACAGAAATTGGAAAAAAAAAGATTTCCCTGGCCCCTACTGGTTCTGCATTGTGTAAGTCAGGCTTTGTCTGTAGGCCTCATGAGCAAGTAAGAAAGAGCCTTGAGTTGGGGTAGATGGTAGAAGGGAGATGCAGAGGAAGAGAAAGAAGAGGGGATCAGGCTGGGAAATGGCTAGGAACATAAAACGCAAATGAGACAGCAGACATGACAGCTTCCTTTCTCTGTCTCTTTCTCTGTCTATGTCTCTTCCCCGTCTCTGTGGTTCAATGTTAAATTGCATAATAGCCAGTCTGAGTGCTGTTTGATGTAGGGGGCAGCAAGGGCTGAAGTCGGCAGGGGAGCTGGCCTGGACAAGCAGGATCCTGGAGGGGAGGGCCCTGGGGGGGGTAATTGAAGCCAAGGCCTAGAAGTAAGAGATGAGCACCTTGAGTCTGGTGAGGGGGCTGCTTTCCTGGAACAGAGAGTAGGTTTGGGGAAGAATGGGCCAGGCCCCTATTGCCACTCTTTTGGGCACTTGAAGGCACTTCCTAACTTGGCTCTTAAGTTCTACTGCCTCCTGCCTCTAGGCCATTCTTCCCCCATCTGCCCTGTTTCTCCAGCCTTAGCTCGTGCTGTCCCTCATGCAGCACTAGACTGCCATCCCCTTCCCACCACAGAACCTTAGAACGAGATGGGATCACAGAGAACATACCCGAACAGAAATCCCTGGTGGTGGTGCAGCCTCAGCTCGAAGACTTCTAGTGAGAGAGAAGGAACGGGCCTCTTCACGAGGCAGCCCATGCATTTGATGGCATTAAAACCATGATTCTGAGCAGGGCGGGTCTGTAGACTTGAGCAGACGTTGGCCTAAGGGATTCTGGTCCCAGTGGCTTGGCTCTGTGGCTCCTGGGCACCGTGCTCTTCTCTCCCAGGTGCTTGATAAGTGTTTGCTGACATGACTACTTGACATTGGAAGCCACTGCAATTGCTTGGGGCAGGGGGAATGCCTTGGCAGAGACAGGGGAACAGCAAATGAAATGGAATGGAGCTTCAGAGCCGGGAGAAAGGTAGCTGACAGTTTACAAGGAATGAGAATCTTTGGGCATGCCAAAGGCAGAGGAGCTGCTTGGTAAACTCAGATCAGGGGTAGCTGTGGAGGAAGTGGACCACAAATCTCTTGGCAAAAAAGCGGTTTAGAAAAAGAGGTGGCCACATACTGATATGAGAGGATTGGGGCAGGGTGGGAGCCTCAAGTCCTGAGTGGGGTGAAGAGAAGCCATCTCTGGATGTGAGGATGGGGTCTTGGAAGTTTCTCAGAGGAAAGACAAGGTGAGCTTAGGAGAAATGGCATTTTAAAACGGCAGAAGGGACCAGTAAGTTGAGTCCAAGCCCCTTTGTTTATGCTCAGATCTCCAGGCCTTGGCCCTTGGGGTTCCGGTCATTCTAGCTAAGCCTCTTGGTTTCCCTTCTACCTGCTGGTCCAGGCTCCTCCTTCCCAAGTTCCTCACTTTAGCCCAAACAGAAAAGTCTAGGTCAAGGGTTTTCCAGCTCGGGTTCTAGGTGGAACCCTTTGTCTTCGAGTCAGAGCAGTGCTGGCTTTGTGGTTCCTGCTCTCCCTCATGCTTCTGGTGTAACTCTGGTAGAGCCTGCCCTAGGAATCCAAGGCTCCTGCTAGCCCAGGGCTTCTTCATCTTTTTTGTGTCCTGGATCCCTCTGGTAGGCTGGACATGCCTGTGGATCTCTGCTCAGAATCACATTTTTAAATGGTCAAGAAGGAATGGGAGTGCGTTTCTCTTGGAGTTGTTAGAGCAGCTAAAAATTGAACAAGAATAGAAACCAGTACAGATGTGCCCACTTTCTTATATGACTTAATTGGCTCCCTTCCCCCTCACATTCTGCAGCTGGGGGCGTAGAGGTACATGTATTTTAAGTGAGCATCTTCGCCCTCTATTGCCACCCACAGCCCTGGCGAGATCCTTACCTTCATTTACAGAGACTGACAATTACAGAGCAGCTCCCTTCTGTTTGGGCCTTTGTGAGCATCGATTCCATTTGCCAGTAGGTGCCATCCGCAATCGTGATCTCTTCCTGCCTGAAGTTTGCTAGTTAAAGGGTTCTGCTTTTAGAGATTGAATTGTTGGCCTACGTGATCTTTGCTTGTTGCGACCTTTACTTGTCTGGATCTCAGTGAAACAGAATTGGATGCAATGATCTGAGGCCCTCAAATTCTGTGCTGTGCCTGTGTTCTAACTTAAGAATTCTGGGGAACAAATTTACTTAAAATGGGGTACACCTTCTCTTAAGTCTCTTTCTCCCTTTCCCTGACATGGGATATAAATAGAGATACTTCAGTACACTGTAAATGTGGGTGTGAGTGTGTGGGTGTCTACATACACACGTACATATACACACATATATGCAAGCATATCTTTTTTCCATATGTATAAATATATGTGTGTATATTTACCTATATATATGTATATAGATGTATATATGTGTGTGTGTGTGTGTGTGTGTGTGTGTGTGTGTGTGTGTGTGAGAGAGAGAGAGAGTGTGAGAGCGTGAGAGTGCAAATGAGCAGTTGCAGTATGGCGTAGTGGATAGAGAGCCAGCCTTAGTCACATGTCATACCTGTGTGGCCATGAGCCAATCCATTTACTTCTTAGTGCCCCAGGCATCTCTAAGAGTAAGTTTTGCTGAGTAGTTGATCTGTATCAGTGGGAGGAGTTTGCATACTAAGAATTCCCATTAATGAAATTATGGGTTAGACCTTCCCCCCTCACCCCTTCCAAAAAAAAAAAAAAAGATGCATACACATATACATGCAGACTGTGTTATTGAGTATTAGAACTGGAAGGGGCTTTAATCTAACCCCCTTATTTTACAGAGCACAAAAGTGAAGCTGACACAATATTCTTTCCCCCCCAAAAAACCCAATATCTTCTTATTACTGTTGATAGTTAGCTTGGGGATCCATTCAGTATCCCTTAATTGTTCTGGATTCTGAAATTGCTTTGATTCTCTGGGCCTTTTTTGTAGTCCCAAATGCAACTTTGCCATGATTAAGTAGCCTCTTGGAATTTGCAGAACCTTCTCTGCTGTGGGCCTTATCACTCATCTTCCCATGCACCTGCAAAGCAAACGGGAGGCTGCCAAGGGTCACCTGCACTCCACTTCTTTCTCAAGAAATGAATGACTGACGTTGTGATCTTGTTGTAGGGCTTTGACCAGCTCCGTGTCGAAGGATTGCTTTGTGATGTGAGCCTCGTCCCTGGAGATGGAGACGAAGCCTTTCCTGTTCATAGGGCCATGATGGCATCTGCTAGTGATTACTTCAAGGCTATGTTCACAGGTAGAGAGCTCTTTGAATTTCCTATCTTAATTTGAAGTCTGTATTTCCCAGATGTGAAGGATTGTCCTTTAGGATAGTGATACTCTGATTCTTTGGGAAGGGAGTAAACCAGCAGGTACAGTTGAGAGGGGCCCTGGCTTCTCTTGGCAACTGGATTGAAGTTGATTTTCACATTTGTTCCCATATTGGCCTCCAAGTGTTTCTTTTTCAGACAAAAGCCCCTTGGGCTAAGTGGGGGCGATTGTTTTGCAAACACTTGCTGTGCCTACCTTTGGTACCTTGGGCATCCTTTGGCTAATTACTAAAAATACTTGGCCATCAACGTTTCTATGCTATAAGACTTTTCCTTAATTTTATTATATATTATTGAGAGAAGTGAGTTATGCCTGAATTAAAATAACCACTTCCCTTTATCCCAATGTCTTTTTCTGTAGGTGGCATGAAAGAACAAGATTTAATGTGCATTAAGCTCCATGGGGTGAATAAAGTTGGGCTGAAGAAAATCATTGATTTCATTTATACTGCAAAACTCTCTCTCAATATGGACAACCTTCAGGATACGCTCGAAGCCGCAAGCTTCCTCCAGATTCTGCCGGTCCTGGACTTCTGCAAGGTGTTTCTGATATCGGGGGTAAGACCCTTTTGGCTTCTTGTTGTAGCTGTTGTTTACGTACTCTCCTCCAGTTCCAGACTGTCCACCATGGGCTTCTGACCAGCCCATCATCCTGTGCTGCTTGGCAGGTAGGCAGATTCAAACCTTCTCTCTTTCAGGAGTCCTCAGGCTAACAGATTCCTGAGAGCAAAGCAGGCCCAGGAAAACTGAGTCATTAACTCAGAAGTTCTATGGATGGACTCAGAGGTCGTAAAGAGGCTTGGAGAGATATGCAGCCCTGAATGAATGAATGAATGAATGAATGAATGAATTGGGCCCTTCTTCACTGGGCACTGAGCCTACTCTCCTGGGGCTCACTTAGCGCCTGCACATGCCCGCGCTTTCACAGAAGGCTGACATGTAAATGAAGTACTGGAGAGGAGCCACTGGATTTCTGAGGGCTCGACTTGAAACAGTTTTCCTGAAATCTGGGTGGCTTTTCTTCCTGCACCCCAGACTCAGGGGCAGGTTCTGTCCTCGCATATGGCAGCAAGGGGACACAACATCCATTCAGGGGCCAGCACTTAGGCAGATGCTGGTGGAGGGAGTGTAGGGTGCAGCCAGGAGCAACATGCCCAGGCCCCAAACAGGGAGCACCCTTAGCAGGGTTAGCGACAGTCTCTGCTCCTGCTGCTGTTGCCGCTGCCGCCTGGCTCCACAGCTTTCTAGTATGTTCCCTTCAGTCTTGATTTGGAAAGACTACAACCTTGGATTGTACAAAGTTTCCTCCAGAAGGATTTCCAGAACATGTCATTATATTTGACTCCAGGGAAGATGAGCCATCCTGTTTCTTTCCACTACTTCTAATTGATCACATGGAAGAATTTCTTTTCCTCTAGGTGTTTGTAGCCCGTTCTTGAGTCTAATCGTGGAAAAACATGGTTTGGTGATGCTTTTCCAAAGAGATTTCCTTTTATAACGTCAAATCTTTAAATCGCATTAAATTTCAGTTACTTCACAACAACTTGTCATTAATATTTTATCATAATTTTCAGTTCTTCAAATCATTCAAGAAATAATTTATCCAAAATGTATCGCAAGATAGCTTTTAAAAAATGAAAGACATGAGTGTATCTTTTCACGTCTCCATGCATATCTTTAACTTGTAAAATGTTGTGATACAGAGATTTGATTTTTGACTTTCTTGCTTTGAGTGATTTCCTAAGTGAATGATCTCTCTACTGTATCACATGTTTGGCTCAAGGAGAGAAAAAGCTTCGCTTATTTCCCACGCAACTTTGTATTGCCCTTACAGCATTGGCTGCTGAATGACTACTTTTTATTTCATAAATTGTGACACGTTACTGTCATAATTTAATTGTGGCTACTAAATGACTCTTTTTTTATTTCTTAAATAGTGACAGGAGTGTTTTTTCCAAGGAACTGAACAGGAAGGTTCTCCTGGCCAGCCAGCCTACACTGTCTTCTTTACAACCCCCTCCCCCAGTACTCTGCTCCTAGTCCTTCCTTCTGGGGACATCCTTCTTCTGGGAGATAGCCCTAGTGGTGATACTTAAAAACAGCCTGCTTTACCCCTTTCCTTTCTCCAGGTTAAATATTTCCAGAATAATTTATTCAGAGCTGGAATTATCACTAGTCATTAAAATGATATTTTAGCATGTTACCTTTTATGCTTCTCCAAATAAAGGTAACTATATTTAAATGAACTTCGTAACTAAATACCAAGTTAGTCTTTTTTTTTTCTTGCTGTTGATAGATAAAGCACTTTGGTAATGGTTGATCAATTTCTATAGACTACTGTGTTGGCACGTAACTTAGCTGAAATGTGAATTAGAACCACATTGTTTCACCTCTTTGAAAATGCCTTTGTCTTCTGAACCATTCAAACACTGACTTGAAGATTAGGCTTCAGCCTCGCCACCTCTTGTAGGCTTTGTAACCAGTGTGTAGCTTCCCATTCTTGTTTGGACATCTGTGACACCTCTCAGTGTTACAGAGGGGGGGGTTAGTCTTTCATTGCTGGGTATCCCCAGCCTTGGGAACATTCTCCTGCCTTTTAGTTAGGTTCTCTTTACACATGCACTTTTGCATAAAGACTCATGTACTCAACAAACCTCTGAGGAGATGGAATCGTGGAGTTTAGGCCTAGAAGAGAGCACAGAGGCCATCTTGTCCTGTGCCCTCATTGTCTAGGGGAGGGGACTCTTCTGTTTCTACAGAAAGCCAACCCCACAGGCCCCTCTCCTTTCTTTTTGCACACGTAGTAGCATTACGACCCCTGCAAAGGACATCTTTCCCCAGGAGACCAAAATCACATTCGTGGAACTATCTCCTTGCACTTCTTTCTCTCTTGCCCATCTTTTCCTTTGTCTTCTTTCAAAGGGCGGTCTCAGTTTTGAGTCTGCTTGTTTCTCCTCTTCCTCTCAGCTAACAAATGCATCTTCAAACTTGTCCCTTTGCTTGCTTCCCTTGCTGATAAGAACTGCAGGCTTCAAGTTGCTGATGATACATTTCAAAGGAAGATTAATAATAATAATATTTTTTCAAATCAAAGATCCAGTGAAAGTTCCAATCTTAAGGCATCACATTCAGGATTAAGGCCTTTTCTTAAGCTGCTAATCTCTAGGAACCCAAAAGTATGAAAGAACCCAGTCTTCACTTTAGGCTAGTATTTACCATGTGCCACCCACAAAAATACCTACCTCTTGGCCTGTTGGCATGTGGCTGTGGGCTGTAGTGCAAAGCTTTGGGTAGTAGAGCAGCATTAGTTTATTTATAATGAAACATGAAATTAAAGCACAGGGAGATAACAGACAGCCCCCCCCCCCACATACCACCAGTAGCAATACGATATGCATGCCACATAGGGCTCTACTAGCTGATTTCTTGCTGCTCTATGCTTTTGGAGAGGAACTGCAGCAAAGACAGTGTTGAGTATCAAAGAGCCCACAAAGCACCATGCTTTTGGCATGTAGTACCTAACAAATGCTCGTCTTCATTCTTTCAAAACATTTATATTTGCATTTGGATTATATTTTTATACTTTCAAAGGAATACAATCTGGTAGCTTATATTGTCCCTTCAGACAAAATAATGGAAACAATCCTGAAATCCCCCATTTGGGAAAAACCTAAAAGGTTCTTCAGTCAAACCTGTGCCTGAAACATGAATCTGCTCCCTGATGTCACCACCCAGTGGTGACCCAGTCTTTGAAGGTCTTCAAATGATAATTTACTCTCTTCCTCCCTAGGGGGGCCTTTTCCATTTTCAGATAACTCCAACTGTTAGAAAGTTTTTTTCTTGCCTTGAGCCCAAAGGTGCCCCCTGTGCCTGCTGGTGCTCGTTCTGCCATTTGAGGTCGACCAGAGTAAGTCTGATCCTTTTCCATATGACAGTCCTTTAAGTAGAAGTCCCTTGGGGACCAGAAACAATTTTTCTTTTTATTTCTTTTTGTACCCCCAGCCATAACACAAGGGCCTGCACAGCTTAAGCTCTCAAAGATATCTGGCATTGAATTGGAATCATTAAAAACTGGGCTCCTGCCCTTTTCCTGCCCTGTTCCCCTTCTCTTCTGTAGTCACAATGCTCCCCCCACCCCGTTCTTTCAACCTGCCTTTATGTGGGATGGTTTCAAGTATCCTCAGCAGCCTGGTCGCTGTCCTTTAGCTGTGTTGTGACTTGTTGATGTCTTTCCTGAAATGAGGTACCCAGACCTGGCCGCTGTACTCTAGCTGGGGTCCAACCAGGGCTCAAGACAGAAGAACCTCAAGGAAATGGAAATGTCCAGTTAATTGTTTGGAAATGACCTCATTATTTCTCTTAGACAGTCATTAAGTCTGGTCCTGTTTCTTTGCCTCCATTGTCAAATCTCTATTTTCAAGTTGTTCTTCGCCACTGTTGGGCCAGAGGCTTATGTCTAGAGGGAATTAGTGTTCTCCATCTTTCCATTATCTAAACTTGCCTTTTTTCCTGGGCACATAAAATGTATTTTTTCTTTATTAAAATATTTTTTAATGCTAGCTTTGGTTTTTATTTCACCTTCATACGTGACTTTCATTTAGCAGTCTCTCTATTCAGAGAGCCATCCCTTATCATGACAATTAAAGCAGTCCAGCAAACGTGACTAACACATCAACTGAGTCTACCATATACAGTTCTACCATTTTAATGTTCTACTATGTGGTTCAGTATCTAGAACAGGTCAGCCGCTGTGGTGGCTTGTTCTCAACCCCATCCCCCTATCTACCTTCCAAACCATCCCATCCCCCTCTCTGTGGTTAGCCTGCTGCTTTCCTGTTACCTTGGCTTTACTTTAGTCTCCCTGCACCACCAGGAACTGTTGTAGCTGAAGTGCTCTATGCTGAAGAGAACTAGATTTAGGAACTTTTCTTTCTATGTCATATTACCTGGGTGATAGTTTCAGGTGAATAACTACCAATAATTAACTGTTGCATATTAATAATATGGGCCTTTTATTTTTGGTTGTCCCTTCTTTGCATCTTTGGATCTCTTTATTGTTAGAAGGAGCAGGAATGAATGCTCATTGTCCTCCCACAGCACTCTTGCTCTATGTGAGCTCTCGAAAGGCTCAGTTCTTTGCACCAGGAAGGGAGCATTCTGGGAGATTGCACATTACAGCAGCTGTCTTTGTGAACTGGCTGCCTTGTCATGGTCCTTTCCAGGTCCCTATATTTAGGAGCATGAGAATCCTGACATGTAGAAGTATTTTTCTAAGTACCTTTAATTATTATGTAGTTTCTTTTATTCTCTTTTTTGTACCTTTATTTTAATCAAAGGGAGTTGAAAATGGAAGGGAAGAAGTTAAGTTGCTAGGATCTCATTTTTTATTCCTATTTCTAAATTATATAGCATTGGTCTGATCTTGGATTCTGATATATTTCCCATCCTGATGTACCATGTGTATGTGTGTGTGTATGTGCGTGTGTGCATGTGTGCATTTGTTGAGTGGGGATCTTATGCTCTGAGTAGGCAAAAATGGAAGGGAGCCCTTGCCTGGA